AATTTCCAATCCCTGCTGAAAATGACGGATGATTGCGGGTTTCTTCGTCAAAACCGGATAAAATCAGATGATTGCGGGTATAAATTCTTCGTCGAAGCCGGATAAAAGCGGGTAAAAATATCATCTGATAACATCTGCTTTTGTCCGCATCGCTATATCCGCGAACACCCGGTTGGTTGTGTTTTATGTCCGGTTAGTGCACCTCCGCAATCATCTGTTTTTAACCGTCTTCACTGTGTTTCGATTATATTTGAATTTGTCCGGAATCATCTGCAAACGTCTGCTTACGTCTGGGTTTATCCACGAGCATATGCTTTTACCCGCAAACGTCTGCCTAGTCCAATTTCACCCGCCAACATATGCGAACATCTGCAATTACCCGCGAACAACTGTTTTTATCCGCGAACATCTGCAATCACCCGCGAACATCTGCAATCACCCGCGAACAACTGCTTTTATCCGCGAACATCTGCAATCACATGCGAACATCTGCTTTTACCCGCGAACGTCTCCTTTCATACGGTTTCACCCGCAAACATGCTTTTATCTGCGAACGCCTGATATTATCCGCAAACATCTGCTTTTATCGGCAAACATCTGCTTTTATCCGCAAACATCTGATTTTATAGGCAAACATCTGCTTTTATCCGAAAACATCTGCTTTTATCTGCAAACATCTGATTTTATACGCAAACATCTGCTTTTATCCGCAAATATCTGCTTTTATCCGCAAACATCTGCATTTATCCGCAAATATCGAAACTCGATCCTTTTTGATCACGAAAACAGGAGACAAAACCCTTATCAAAAATGATCAAAAAGGATCGAGATTTAAACTCGATCCATTTTCGATCAGTTTTTTTCAGCAGGGTTATTCCAATAATTCCTTTTAGAGTTATAAAGTTGTGTGCCGTGAACGGCTAACAACCAGTTAGTTAAAGCTCAGTAAAATTTGACAAAGCAGGTAAACTAAACTAAAGTATACACGAGAAAAAGGAAAACAAAAAGCGCTAATGAAACCAGACGTTTGCGTACGAAACAGGACCGAAATGGACAAAGGAAATGCAGGCAAACCGAACGCGGATGAAAGCAGAGGTTTGCAATTAAAAGCAGATGTTTGCAGATGTTCGCGGATAAAAGCAGATATTTGCGGATAAATGCAGATGTTTGCGGATAAATTCAGATGTTTGCGATTAAAATCAGATGTTTGCGATTAAAATCAGATGTTTGCGGATAAAATCAGATGTTTGCGGATAAAAGAAGATGTTTGCGGATAAAAGCAGATGTTTGCCGATAAAAGAAGATGTTTGCGGGTAAAATCAGATGTTTGCGGATAAAAGCATATGTTTGCGGATAAAATCAATTGTTTGCGGATAAAAGCAGATGTTTGCAGATTAAAATAGATGTTTGCGGATAAAAGCAGATGTTTGGAGATTAAAACAGATGTTTGCGGATAAAAGCAGATGTTTGCAGATAGAATCAGATGTTTGCGGATTAAAACAGATGTTTGCGGATTAAAGGAGGCGTTCGCGGATAAATGCAGATGTTTGCGGATAAAAGCAGAAGTTTGCGGATTAAAGCAGACGTTCACAGATAAAAGCAGATCTTCGTGGATAAAAGCAGATGCTTGCAGGTGAAATCGGATGAATCAGAGTTTTGCGGACTAAATTAGATGTTTGCGGATTAAAACAGATGTTTGTGGATTAAAGCAGATGTTCAAAGATAAAAGCCGATCTTTGCGGATATAAGCAGATGTTTGCCTATAAAATAAGATGTTTGCGGATAAAAGCAGATGTTTGCCGATAAAAGCAGATGTTTGCGGATAATATCAGATGTTTTCAGATAAAAGCATGTTTGCGGGTGAAACCGTATGAAAGCAGATGTTCGCGGATAAAATGAGATGTTTGCGGATAAAAGCAGATGTTCGCGGATAAAAGCAGGCGTTCGTGGATAAATGCAGATGTTTGCGGATAAAAGCAGAAGTTTGCGGATTAAAGCAGACGTTCACAGATAAAAGCAGATCTTCGCGGATAAAAGCAGATGTTTGCAGGTGAAATCGGATGAATTAGAGTTTTGCGGACTAAAGTAGATGTTTGCGGATGAAATCAGATGTTTGTGGATTAAAATAGATGTTCGCGTATAAAACCAGATGTTTGCAGGTGCAATCGGATAAAGCAGACGTTTGCGGATAAAATCAGATAAAACCGGGTGAATGTAGATATAAACCCTTATACAGGTATTTGCGGATGAAACCAGATGAAAGCAGACATAGAACTAAACAGATAAAACCCGACGTTCGCGGATAATATTTATACTCGCAATTGCAGATAAAAACCGACATGCCGAGTAAAATCAGATATGTCGGATGAAAACAGATATAAATGGACATAAAACTAGCTTGGTTTTTTTATCCGCAATCACGTTTTGAATAATTCAGACATTTTATAGAATCCATATTAAAAATGCTAATAAACCATGTTTTTATTTATAATATCTTATTAGCTTATTATAATTATCAATGGGTACTATTTTTACCTTGATGCAAATTATTTATTAAATTTAATTTACTAAAATTTTATTTATTACAATTATTTTTATTGCAAGGCATGGTTCTTGCATTTACTGAATAACATAATACACTTTTGTTTTATTAAAATTAACGCAAAAATATATAATGCCGTAGTTATTTTTAAATTTAAATTAAAGGTGCTGTTAGTGATTTTTTCTTATTTGGTTTTTATTACAATTATTACGCACTATTTTAATTATCCTCATAAAACTTCATTTATGGCAAAATGTTTAAACTACATTACATTCTTAAAACATGATCGTTTAGTTAAAAGCAAAAAGAAAATTTTTTAGTTGTAGATTTTGAAAAATTATTAATTTTTTCCAAAGCAAACGATAGATAAGTAGGTACACGAAAATTTCAATTTTTTGTGAATTTATAATATTTGTTTAAAAACCCATTTTAAAGAACAAAAATGATGTATCTATATATACCTACCATTTATATCTAAATATATTATATAATTTATATTTAAAAGTCAATTAAATGTGTACATCCAAATTACCACTTAATGGCATCATTAGATGCATTATTAATAAAAGAACCAATCCATACCTTAAATGTTAAATTATAAATGTATTTATATATTTAATAAAATAAATATATTTTGGAGGAGTCCAATTAACCGATAAACGCAATCATCAAAATACATAAAAAGGCTTAAAATGAAAAATAATATAAATACATGTGAGGGTCAGTGCGGCAACGTCGCTGGAGGCAAGTTCAACCGAGGCACCTCTGGAAATATATTCACAGGAGGCAAAAAGATTGTCTACTGTGTGGAGGCGACTTCACCTTAAGCCTTATCAAAAATGTGTATAAAAATTCTTTCTTTATTTTTAAGAAAAGTTTTCCCCTCTCAGGTTGCTCATATAAAGAAAGACTTTATTAATTTATTTCTATAAAAAAAACTCGTAAATTCCTATTCCTTCTGGTGGAGGCCAGGTCTCCTTCGAACGTATGGAGCCGAATAAGATAGGCGTGCACATATATATATATATATATATATATATATATATATATATATATATATATATATATATATATGGAACAGCAGAACTATAAAACATTGCCATATATCAATGATGTATCATTGTTCCATTGTATATATATAACATTGTTATATGGCTGATACATAAGGGGGATGTAAATATAACAAGAGGGGAACATATTTATATAAATGTTATATTACTATGTTTTATCATAATTATGTAACAAAATAAATAACTAATATGTAAATGTTATGTAAACAATTTTATATGGCAATGTTCTTTGTTAGTTATATCATGGTTATGTAAATGGAACAGCCTGGTTTGCTGGGAATTAATTCCGAATTATAATCTTTTTTTCGCAAACTTCAATTTAAATTCTGCTTGCGCAGAACTTGTTTATTTAATGTCATTATATATATATATATATATATATATATATATATATATATATATATATAATGACATTAAATAAACAAGTTCTGCGCAAGCAGAATTTAAATTGAAGTTTGCGAAAAAAAGATTATAATTCGGAATTAATTAATTATTTTACTGATATTTTTTATTAGTGGATGCTACTTATCAACAAGTCACATATAGCCTTATATAAATTACAATGAAATATATATACGTAAGAAAATAACTACTCACCACAGTACTGAAATTTTGACTGGAACTTTACGTGCATTCACCACAACTTCGCCGCTTGCATAGTTTTCAAGATGACTGTCGTGAAAAGGGCGGGCTCTGTAGGTAATTTTTTACCAACACTTGAGTTAAAACGCGGACGACGTTTAAACTTCAATATTTTGCAGGAATCATAGGTTTTTCTATGGCAGGAATTTTGAATTTTAACATTGGACACAGAACTGACGGGTAAAAGTGAGTACAAAGATTATCGACTTTTTAAAAATTGCTATTATTTGAATTTATGATAAAATATGAAAAATTTAAATTAAAAAAAAAGATAAATTGAATATATTTTAAAATAAAATCACTCAAATATTTGATTCAGGAGTTGTGACACGCCAAGGTACTGATGTTTTGAATATTTATTATGTTTTTCTACAAACGTGCTTTTGAAAAAATACATTGAAATTGGGTGGACAAGTTAAAAAAAACTGGATCTTTTGTAATATACTAAAACATTTACAAAAAATATTAAAATACCTACTCTATTGACTGATTACATCAAGTTGTCCAACTTTTGTAGAATCACCAATATACAAAATTGCATTAATTTATTTTTATAAATAAAAAGTTATGGAGTTTTTATGTAAGACAGGCCTAGATTTTCCATAGTGCGTCGGTGATTTCGTTTTTTTTATATAACAAAAATCTAAAGTAACTTTTGGCAAGAGGGGCACTTAAGGTTCAAATGTCCACCTGCTAAATCCGCCAATGAATTGATTGTAATTACAAAATAACATATTTTTAGGGCACATATTTATTTACAAAAATAACATTAAATGAAAAAAATAACATTTATTTTAAATATTAGGCGATGTATGTATAATTTGCCGGGTTATCTTTATCTCTTTCCATATACTCTCTTTCAATAAGAAGTTCGATTCTCTTTTTTAAATCATGTGGCTTCACAGGAATATCCAAAGTATTAAATAATTCTGCCAAAAGAGCATTATGATTTACTGACATTTTTTTCTTCATAATTCTTACGATAGCTGCATCAATTTGAAATTGACGATCAACCATAACGCTAGATTCTATTGCTTTTTCTTCCTCAGCTGTTTCTTTTAGTTGCACTTGATTAATTTTAACGCGAAATAGTTTGTCAGTAAACTCTTTATTTACTATAAATAAATCTTCATCCTTTAAATCAATTCCTTTAGGAGATTTTAAAAGTACTCTTGCTTTTCCGCAAGCCAAAGAAAGTATGGTTTTCTTAAGCTCAGTATCTTCCAAATTGGTTAGTTCTCGAATTTCAAGATAGCTTAATTTGGCTGTTTTATCAAACAATAGTAAAACCAAAGTTTGGAACAAAGAAACCTGCAATTCCTTATTTCCTGCTTCAAAATTGCCTTTAACAATACAATGGCCCAAATTGGGTTGCCAAATTAATTTTCTTCCACTGTGGTTATAGGCATAAAATTTTTGAAAAGCTAGCTGATAATTAACTAACTCATCTGGCAAATTTACTTCGTAATTTGGATAGTTTGGCCAAAAGCTATTGGTTAATATATTAATGCACAAATCTACTGAAGTTTCTAATCTAGTACTTTTTAAATGTTGTTTAAAAGCCTCGTTTATTGATTGACTGATACTTATATCGTTAAACATTCCCTCAATTTTTGAGGTAAAGTTATCACCGCATTCATTTTTTAATTTGGCAATCATACTGTCCTCTGCATCTTGGCTAGTGGATTTACTCAGAAGAAGTCGTTTAGCTAAATCTCTTTTATAGAAGGCTTCAAAAATATCCTTTCCTTGTATAAACCTAAATATTACCATGATTTTATCGAATAGTACCTTCAAATCCGCTTCAGTTAAATCTTTAGACCTCATTTTTTTATCCAAAAATTTGGCGAGCAGTTGAGCAGGTTTATTTTTACGAATATTGACAAATTTAACGAATGCATTTCTTATGACTTCAAAAAAATCATCATTAGATTTAAAACACACTTCAACAATGTGATCCAATTTTTCTTTAAACACTAGCAAGCTTTCAATCATGGTTTTATCATTTTCTGGGTTATACACAATTACCGTACCTTCTTTTAATATGTAATTCAAAAAATACTGGCTTAAATACTTAACCCCGCAAGCTACTTTTTTTAAAAGATTATACATTAAAAATAATTCATTTAAATTATTATTGTCGATAATATTATTAAATCCCTTATCCAGAATTTCGACAATGTGCTCTTTTATTAAATACTTATAAACCAACTCTAAGGTTGCAATTCCAGTATATTTGCTTAAATAATGTTTAGCTCTGTCTTGTTCTTCTAATATTCTTTCATTAACATGTTTTAAATAATCTGATATGATGTAGCTTTGAATTAACATGTTTCCTTCTTCAATATAAAAAGTTTCGGTGGACTTGAGAAATTCAGTTTGAAACATATCGTCATAAACTTGCAACTCGGTGAACATGCCGATTATAGATTGTATTACTTCCAAGTTTATTGTCTTGCCTTTTCTTTCCAATTCGATATTGTAAAACATTTCTTCAGTTAACTTCTTTTTAACACGAGGGTTTAATACAACCAATGTTTTAAACAATATCATACTCATTACATTTATAGTATTATATTTATTTTTAGATGATTTGTCCAAGCTTAGAAAGATGTTTTTAATAGTTTGGACATGTCTGCAAAATGATCTCCATATTGTGTCAAGTTTCAATAATACATAGTCATTTTCTAAAAGATATTCCAATTTTTCTAGTAGAAAATGTTCAAATAAGTTATTTAAATTATCGTAAAGCACGTTTTTTTTTGCTTGGTGGACATTTTCTACAATACCGTACAATTTTTCCAAGGTTATATTTATTTCGGAATCCTTCAAAATTGCAGTGATAGCAGACTCCAATATTTTACATTGTCTTTCCAAATATTCATCACTTATGTTAGAAACTCCTTTAAAGTTTTTAACTATTAAAGTTTTTATACCAGCAGTCATTTTCTTATTTTTCTGTTATTTAGTATTTTTGACAATTTATTTAGGTAACCAAGGTAACACAATAGTCATAGAGGTTATTAATCTATGGACAAAAGCTGCCATGGATAATAAATGTATGTCTCTTTTATGGGCACCCGGGTGCCCCACATACTTCCACTGTGGCGTATTTAGGGGGGGGTCCGCCGGGTCCGGACCCCCCCCCGGGGGCAAATATTTTATTATTTTTATTACAAAAAAAGTTCCTTTTATTTACTATTTTATCGGATCAGAAGAGTTCCTAATTTGTGATTTTTTAGTTATTAAAGCATAGCATAGTATAGTATTTAGGATTTAGCTCCGGGGGGGGGTCCAAAAAAACTAACTAAATATGTTTACATATTTAGTTAGTTTTTTTGGACCCCCCCCCCCCGGAGCTAAATCCTAAATACGCCACTGCTTCCACACATATAGAAATAATTTCCAACTGAGACTGTTTCCATTTCGTGGGTTTAAAATAGGGGTAGCAAGAACCGTGGGCGTGGGCCGCATTGCCGGTTTAAAAAAATAACATATTTTTGTCTCTATTTGTGAAGTATAATAAATACTTTTTAATAAATTATATAAAAATTGTATGAAAAAAAGCATTTAAATGCAAAATGATGATATTTTAGATTTTATAATGGCATATTTATAAAAGCAAGAATTTGCAACATCGTATTATGACGACGATAGCCAAAAGGTTTTTAGACATGTTAATAGGTAGATGGTTTGTCCATTTTGTTTGTTCTCTGTTGTATACCAATTGTTTTGGCATTGTTTTTTTTCATTGTTTTACGAGATTTTTAGCAAATTTAGAAAAAGCCGTGACTAGAGGCACGCTAACGTGCCGCGATTCGAAATGTTAAAGGCACGTTAGTTACATCATAATAATAATCCGGTTTTGTTCCCCGAGCGTTATAAAATTGATGTTAAGCTAGATAGCTCAGATGGTAGGGCGGTCGATTAGCATGCGAGAGGTACCGGGTTCGATACTTAAAAGTTGTCGAACTTTTTTTATTTTTTTATTTCATAAATTTGTTGTTTCTTTGTTAAAAAGTGTTGGGTTGGGTTGGTTGGTTTGTTTGTTTTAGTTTTATCATAACATAAAATCTACTAGAAGTTGTCGAACTTAATTTCATAAATTTGTTGTTCCTTTGTTAAAAAGTGTTGGGTTGGGTTCGGTTGGTTTGGTTAGTTTGGTTGGTTTGTTTTAGTTTTATCGTAATATAAAATCTTAAAATTATGACGTAAAATAATTACGTAACTAACGTGCCTTTAACATTTCGAATCGCGGCACGTTGGCGTGCCTCTAGTCACGGCGTTTTACTAAATTTGCTAAAAAATCTCACAGCGTTAGAAAAATTTGATATAACCTAAATTCTATTTAGTTGACAATTCGTATCATACGTGGACGTATTAATATGTTTATCTCACAATCCACACAACAAGGTCTGTTCTATCTCGTACTAAAAATACAAAAAATCACTGCAACACTGCACAGGTTAACGGCCATGGTTGTGCATCTTTACTGTACAAAAACTTGTCCGCTGAGAAGTTTTGACTACGCTTGCCAGAGGCGCTAATGTCGTCAAAATTCTTTTTGTCACCGAGACTACCGTTGTCATAATGACAGTTGTCATAATAATTCGACTTGAAAGAATAACTTAAATTTGTGAAGTATTAAATTTTATAATCTTTTAAGTTTGTATTGTGTATTCATTATTATGGTTTATTCTTGGTGTGTACAAAAGTGCAAAAGCAGGGGAGATAGTGTAAAATGCATCGATTTCCAAAAAACGATAAGGTCATCTATGAAGGTATGTCCCGCTTTTTGCCCAAATAACAAAAAATATGTTGATTCTCTAAGCACCAAGTAATAAAATTTTTATTGTTCTTTTATTTATAAATTTATTTTACCTTATACAATGGGAATAGGAATGAAATAGTTAGATAAGTTCATATGATGTAGATATAATTTTAAGTTGTGTTTTGAATTTTTGCCTTTATATATTTATAGGTATATTATTTTATATATTTTTGACAAATAAAATAATTACAAAAATATAGTTTTGTTATGTTTTATTATTCCTCTTTGAACTTTCCTAGAAAAATATTAGAATTATTTATCTAGTGGAGGTAAAAAAAAGGATCAGTACCATCCAGTAAAAAGATTTAAACAATAATTTTAATATATATTTTTGACTACACCCGCCAGATGGCGAAGTAGTCAGGGAACAAAACTTTAATACTAAGTTGCCTATCTAACTAACCCCCCGCCCACCCAACCAATCCCTTGTCTATGTTAACGGCGGCCATTTTTGTTGTTTACAATTTTTGTGCTTTGGGTTTGTGCTCTGTTTATACAGATTAATAATCGTTTTAAACTTTGTGTTTCTCATAGTAAGCCTTAAAAGAGGCCTTAAAGTGCTAAGAACAACCATTTTACTCCTCTATTGTAAAAAATAAACTTTATTCTATCAGGGCTGTCATAAAACTGTCAAATGTCAATTTAAAGGTTAAATTATAACCCACAAATTAACCTTCAAATTGTCATTTGTCAGCCCTGATAGAATAAGGTATACCTATTTATTATTAAAAAAGAAGTAAAATGGTTGTCCTTAGCACTTAAAGGCCTTATTTGAGGCTTACAAGTGCCTCTGTAAGAAACACAACGTTTAAAACAGCACAAACCCAAAACACAAGAATTGTAAACAACAAAAATGGCCGCCGTTAAACTCTGTGCAGTGTTGCAGTGATGTTTAGTATTTTTAGCATGAGATAAAATAGAACATAATTATGTTCTATGATGTATATGGTAGCATATATTTTAAATCCCCCACTTATGAACTGACTATGCGCATAAGGCAAAATGATACGGCAAATCGGCAAATTTAGCCTGAAAAAAGGAAACAAGGTCATTTATACAAAATATAGCTAATAAGCGGTATATGTGTGGAAGTATGTGGGGAATAAACACTCTCCCAATTATGTAAATTATTTTTCTGTTATTTTTGGAAACGTAAAAAAAGTTTAGTCTGCAACCAGGGACCCGCCCAAATGAAATAACGGTTCCTGTCCGGTTCCGGTTCCGAGAGAAACGACAAATTTCGGTTCGGGTTCGGCTACGGTTCCATTAAAAATATTTCTTTCCGGTTCGAACCAATCTTTTCGGTCCATACGGTTTTTTTCGGTTCCAATTTTTTTACCATGTAAAATTAAGTACCTAATTTTTTTTGGCATGTAATTAAATTACTTTGTCTCTTTTTTTCAAATCAGGTTCTTAAATTTTAGGCTCTTCATCCTCTTTTTCTTTACTTTTTTATTCTTCATCAGCTGGCTCCCAGATAGCATAAGATAGCCCACGGACATCCTATTTAGGTTATTCTCGGCTTAGCCAGGCCGAACGTGTCTGGGACATCCATAGGACGTCAAGTCTAGACCCAGTCCGGCTTAGCGTGGATAGGCGTATTTTGGACGTCCAAAATACGCCTAATAAGGCTAAGCCGAACTGGGTCTAGACTTGACGTTCTATGGATGTCCCAGATCCGTTCGGCCTGGCCATAGATAACAAAGCCTGGCTAAGCCGAGAATAACCTAAATAGGACGTCTCTATTCACACAGCACAGGATGTCCAAAGGACGTCCATTGGACGTCCTTTGGACATCTTGTACTATGTGGGTTGGCTATCATACCTAAACTTTTAGGTCAAGCAATTTTCGGATATGTAATAAATTGTGAGAAATATCATGTAAGTACGAATTATATAAACCACCTATTTTTATGAGGTTACTCTTTTGCCTTCTTTGGATGTTCGTGGAACAGTCTGAGGGCGTCAAAGAGAGACAAACAAATCGATTAGCCTTATTATAAGAAAGATTAATTTACAAAAAACAGAAGTTTATTATTAAATAAATATATAAACTATAGTTTATAATATCTAGATATAGATAATAGATCTATTCGTTCTTCAATCGTTTAAATTATTTAAATGTACTTATATAAATACCGGTATTATAACGTATAGTTTTGAATTTAAAATCACCGATCGGTCTTCTTAGGGTAGAACCGAACGGGTTCGTGACGACGTTTCCCATATTGCGTTGCCAATGGCGTTCTTTTTCTATGATGGCGTATATGGTGGTATTTCTTCTCTGCTCTTTGTAATTTATAGGAATTTTCCAGAGGTAAAGAATGTATTTAAGTGCAATTAGTGCTGTTTCGTGCTTTATTAATAATTTTCTTTTCATAAACAACAATTGTATGTTAACATAAGCAGCTTAAAGATCGTGTTCATGTTTTGTCTTTGCCAACGCCTCCATAGAAATTTTCTTAGAAGTTGGTTGTACCCATACGTATAATAAAATCGAGAATAAAGTAAAGTAAGTAATTTGATTAGGTTTGTCTTGACTAATAGACTGTACCACAAACATTTGTGCTGTAGTTGGGTGAATAAAAATGTTTAGTTAAAAATTGTAGGTGTTTTATTTTTAATTCCTGTCAGCCAAATTATGGCCACATTTGGTCCTAGGACTGTCTTTAATAGACCATAATAGGACGGCCAAAGGCCAACCAAAAGTGTCTACTTTGGAAGTCCTACGGACGTCCATTCGTGGTCTTCGGATATCCGTAGGACGTCCTCTATGTCCTGAGTTGACGTCCTAAGGATATCCAGTGAACGTCAGTGTGCTGTTTGGGCTACCTTTATCTTTTTCTTCTGCCCTTGTGATTGAAAAACTGAAAAACTGGAAAATTTATATTTGAAATAAGTTATCCAAAAATGAAAAACTGAACTTTCAGCTTTTTTCTTCTTCTCCAAAAATTTTGTTGGTTCCTCCAAATTTTTTTCTTTTATGTTTGATCTTGTTGGTGGAACTAAAAATTTGAGACAAGAAATAAATAATATAAATAAAACATTCTATCATAAGACCTGTACAATGCAAGGCCACATATTTCTTACTACCAATTGGTATACAATAATTCCACTTAACCCAACTTACCTAAACAAAAATTGCTTTCTTTAGCTGCTAGCGACCTTTAAAGTATGAAAAAAAGATTATGTTATACTGCAGTATATTACACTGAATAAAAAAAGTCGACTATTTTTTTTCTATAAAATTTAATAGCCCCATGAGCCTGTTAAAATATTGCTCATTAATATTATTGGTTGCTAATTGCGATTTTACATTTAAATTAAGTAGGCCAATGACTCCTATTTCATATAGATGAGAATTATTTTAGGGATATTGTTTTCTCACTAGGCGATATTTGCAACACTTCGAAACACGGTTCGAATAAAACTCAACAAAACAAACACTACGATACAACCCAGTAAGTACCAAACACTCGGCAAACAGCCGGCCTTCGCTCAGCATAGGCGCTTGACCGGCGGTTCGGCTTGCCCCAGCCGGCACGCTTTCGGCCCTCGTTATGTTACCTCGGTACTGTTTAGCCATGTTCTAACTGAAGTCGGCCAGAATACCTACGGCATGCCGCTGCAAAATCCTTCGGCTTGCCCTAGCCGGCCCGCTTACGGCTGGAATACGGCCTGCCGCGGCATAAGCGATACATCTCACGGCTGCTTACGCACGCGAGCTAACTATAAATAGCGATTGGTTGCAATATATTGTTGGAAGTGTGCGTCCGTAATGGCATAGCTGAACATTAATTGTTTAGAGTCCCCATCTCCATCCTCATTTGCTCAGTAACGAATAATGTCTACCCTGCTTAAAATACCCCATAGAGACCCTGTTCAAACCGATAGATATTTGTATGAATGTATGGTGTTTCTATAGGGTGTATCGGTTTGTATAGGACCCATAGTTGGGATTTATGGTTGTTCTATAGGAATTTTCCACCCTTGATTTATTTGCTGCTGGTTTCAATGTGGGAAATAGCGATTGGTTGCAATATATTGTTGGAAGTGTGCGTCCGTAATGGCATAGCTGAACATTAATTGTTTAGAGTCCCCATCTCCATCCTCATTTGCTCAGTAACGAATAATGTCTACCCTGCTTAAAATACCCCATAGAGACCCTGTTCAAACCGAAAGATATTTGTATGAATGTATGGTGTTTCTATAGGGTGTATCGGTTTGTATAGGACCCATAGTTGGGATTTATGGTTGTTCTATAGGAATTTTCCACCCTTGATTTATTTGCTGCTGGTTTCAATGTGGGAAAGTACCTACACATAAATGTAGAAATTAGTTTTTTCCCCATAGGACCCCATAGGTTTTAATAAAATTTTGTCAAATGTTTTATGGTTGTTCTATACGGATATCCCTATATATCCTTCATTGAGTTATTTGCTATCGCCCAGATAGCACAAAGGTATACTATGGACGTCCAATGGACGTATGCTCGACGAGCATACGTCCATTGCATACGTCCATTGCATTGCATTGCTCGTGGACGTCTGTATGTACATGAGATGTCCATTTTTTTTCTATGGACGTCCCATGGACATCCGTTTAGAGTCCAGATGTCACAACTTTGGACATCCATAAGTCGTCCACCGATGGACGTCTATAAGGTGTTTGAACCATTCCTCCAGCATCCAGGACCTGCTTTTTTGCTTACTTTAACTGTTTTTTGCGACTGTATTTTCATTGCGATGTTGCAGAAAATGTTCTACAACATGACTGAAATGCCTTTTGTCTGGCTCAGTAACAATCCCACTAGGAATATAAATATTCTAAAAGTTGTTAAAAGTTACAACATTCAATGTTGAACATTGCAGGAAATCCTTGTATTCGACTCAGGAACATTACATTTGCAATACTACAAGTGTTTAACATTTCATTGATAGCTTAAGTCCTTTATAGCACGCGCTTGCTTGAATGTCAGTGAGATTGATCATAACTGTTGTTATGCAGCCAACAATACGTTATAACTTGCATTTCTGTAATAATAATTGAATACGTCAATGCAGAAACTGAATATGTCCTACCTATCTAGTTTTGAGATAAATAAGAAAAACTGAATAACTTAGCGTTGCTTTAATAAATTTCTCTACTATATTAACGCCTTTATATAATCTAGATTACCGTGACATGTGAAATTTCTACGCCATTCGATCGGGCACCCTTTACTTATAGTAAATCCATGTTTAACTCAATATCCCTAAAAAGTAGACATATTCAGTTTCTGCATTGACCTATTCAATTATGGACGTAAAATGGACACTATATGGACGTCCATTAAAATCGTACAAAGGATGTAAATATATGGACGTACATAGTACATCCATTTTTAGTCCGTGGACCAATGTACTTAAAATGGATCTTAAACGGACGTCCATTGGACGAATGGTGCTATTTGGGCGCCTATAGGTAATTTCCTATAAATTTTCTATCGGGCCGTATCCGGAAAAAAACATGGACAAATGCACATATTGAATCCGGTAGCATCCGATAGATTATTTTATATAGGTCTCTATGTGATATTTTAAGCAGGGTAGCTAGTCGAGTGTATTAAAGAAGTATTTGCCATTCAGATAATTTCAGGACTGAACTTATAGGATATACCTCTCCAGGACGTCTGTAGACTTTTTTGAATGGCCAGGCGATTGTGGCCAACTATACACAGCCGACACTCGGCCGAGTAAACATAGCCGACATTCGGCCAGGCGGATATGCCCGTCAGTTGGCCAGGCGGACATGCCCGTTCTTTTCAAAAAGAAATTAAGAAAAAAACCGTTTTAAATTTAAAAGGTTCGGGTTCGGAGTTACATTTAAAAATAATATGGGTTCGGTTACGGTTCCGCTCCACAAATAAATACCGGTTCCGGTCCGGTTTTCTGTCCAAAAACAGTCCAGTCCGGGTCCCTGTCTGCAACACATTTTGAATTGCATATTCCGTTCTCGTGAAACCGTCAAACTCGCCTTCGGCTCGTGTGACAAACTTTTCACTTGAGCGGAATATGTCGTATTCCAAACTTATTACAAAATATTTGACAATTAAAAATATGACTATTATTTGGAGTTACAACAAAAATTCTTGATTAAAAAATACAACGGCATATTCTGTAAAATAATATGCAGTCTGGCACCACCGCTAAATTAAAAACCAACTGTCGGTAATACAGACATCGTTTTATGCATTGAAGTTGACGGAACAGTTGATGTGTGCTAGATAAGTAATTTCGTGATTTAATTATTATAAAACGAAATAATTACTGTGGAATCTTTATTTTTTAAAGTGTTCGAATGAAATTCAAAAAAGGCTCAAAGATGGTCAATAAAGTACAAGGGTAAGTTTCTTCAAAAGATTATGTTGCACAGTTATAATACCTTCCTACCAATTTTTTAGAAATAGAAACGCCAAATTTAGAAATGGAAATAAAAACCGAGTGGTTAGTAATGGAATAAAGAAAAAAGTCGTTGGCAAACCAAAAGTACAAGATGCTAGGCAAAAAATTGTACAGAAAAAAAGAACCACAGTTGTTGATGCCAGGGATGTACTGGCAAAGATTGCAAAGACACAAGATGCTCGTAGCAAATTAAATAAAATAAGAGAGGTTAGAGGTGGTAAAACCCACACAAATAATAATGTAAAGGTAATTGGTCACAATATAGTTCAAAAAACAGATCGCAATGGTAAAATAAGCCTGTCAACAAACAAACCTAAACCAAAATCAGAAATTAATATGACCATTCAGAAACAGTTGGGTATTATTTCTGGAAATCGAACATCACCTAAGAAGGTGGTTTTTAAAAGAAATGCAGCAGTTAATACTCAAAGGGTGAATACACAAAGGGTTAATACTCAACGGGAAAATATTCAAAGAAGAAACCCAGTAAATTTAAGAAAAACAATAATAAATCAAATTGATTTGGCTCCCTTGGATGCTAGATTGGAAAGGATGGAACGATTATATGATAGAAGTTTGTATAAATGGCAAAACCCTGAAGTTAGAACAGCCACCCAGCTTATAAATACTTTGGAACCTCTAAGACCACGTTCCAAGGCAAACATACTAAGCAATGGGTGGACAGAATATATACCAAAAGTGTAATTTAGTTCTTAGATGTTTTTTTTTTATTATAATTAATTTCCATAAATTTTAGGGTTCCCAGATTAGCACCTGCTGCTTATGTTGACTTAGATGCAATGGATGAAGATGAAGAAATGGCTTTGGTACCTCCACTAAGGCAAACTATTTCTCTACAAGGTTCTTCAAGGGTTTCTGATATTTATTCAAGACTAGACAGTCACCCATCACAGCCTGAATCTCATGGAATATTTAGTCAAGCAAAGACTAAGGTTGTTGTGCCTGTTGGACATCGCATAGTTGTTTCAAATTTGCAGTCTACAGTTACACAGGATGATATTAAGGTAAGTTGAATGTTGAGATTTAAGATTTTATATGTGATTCTCGACGTTTTATCAAATGTCTAGCCACTTAATAAAACGCAGCCACATTCTAAAATCGTCGTTTATTTTGCATTACTCTTGGCATTACTGTACAATTTGGCTAGTGTTTTCTACCATTTTATAAACTGGCCGATCAAGTAAGAGTTACATTTTTAAATAGTAATAATGTCTGTAATAATTGCTATATGAAACCCAGGTTTAAATTTTAAAATCACAGGACACAGGTTAAAAAAGGGAAGGACAGAAGCAAAATTTATTTTACAAAGTGACTTTTTCATGAGAGTATTCAAGTTGCTCACGAGGCTGTTAGGCCGAGTGTGCATTAACACAGGCTTGAAGAAAGCTATTCTCACATGGAAAATACAATGTTTTTTCTACAACCCCTTTATTTTTTAATATTTTCAATGAAAATATTAAAAAATAAATTTTTCATGACCACTATGTGAAAGTCACTTTTCATGATGGCATCGTTGCTTAGAAAATGAATCTTTTCATTGGCAAGGCAAAACACGAATGTAAAGTGACATTTCTGTGTAAAAAGTGACAGGTCTGTGTGAAAAGAACCGGAAAGCATCGTTTGACATTCAGCTGTCAAAAAAGTTTTTGGGTTATTTTGTTTTGTATTTAAAAATAATAAAAAATAAAAGGGTCGCAGAAAAAACATTGTGTTATACTTGTGAGAAAAGCTTTCTTTAAGCTCGTGTTAACTTAAAAACTCGAATGAAAAAGTCGCTTTTCAACACTTGTAAAACAAATAACTATTTCTTTTCAGACCTGTCACTTTTCACATAGAAATGTCACTTTACATTTGAGTTTTGATTGCCAATGAAAAGATTAATTTTTTAAGCAACGACGCCTTTACAAAATGTGACTTTTACATAGTGGTCGCAGAAAAAAACTTTCACCTAACGGCAAGAATAAGCATAAAATGGCGCCGAAATTAATAGTTTAAAAATTATTCGATAAACCCCAAAAAGCGATCTGTAGTTCGTATTACCGAGTTTTTTTCATTAAGCGTAAGATGGCGCCGGCGCCGAGTTAAAACCATATACTTATAGTATATGGTTAAAACATATACCTGTGTTAAGTGTTGATGTTCTATGCAGAAGTTAGGATGTACTCGTGGATTTCTGGAGCCAGATTTCTTAGGATTTTTCTGTTGACATGGTCATGTCCTGGGGCAGAGTTTTTTCCTTCAAGAAGGACCTTATAGTAATCTGTAGGCGTCGTTAAATTTTATTTTTTGAGTTAAAGGTTGTACCAGTTATTAATAGAATTTAGATTTGTAGCACTGAAATTTGGGTCATCTAAAAACTCATAGCTTTTTTTTAAAGTATTTTAAAAAAGCTGTAAGTTTTTTAATTTCTTTCCAGTAGTTTTTACCTCTCAAATCATTAATATTTTTACAGGTTTTAAGCCATTTATGCCTTTTGTAAAAGGGCATATTGTGGATTTCCTTGATATATTTGTTAAACAAAGATTTTAATTGAGGATCATTACTTTGTGTGATCTCTCTGTAAAGTTTCCGTTTTGTGTTAATCATTACCAGAATATAAGGTGGGAGTTTATAATTAATATATGTTCTTTTGGATTGTTGGATACAACGCTTTTCTCCAGTTGAAATAAGAAGTTGTTAATAAAGTTTTGGTTTAATTGGTTTTCCAAAGAGCAAAAATTTAAAATTTCCAGATTTACTTTTTCAAAATTGCATTTATCAAAGTTTAAGAAGAACTCATTAGTGGATTTGACTGGAAGTTGAAAACAGGTAATTTCAAATTGTATAACCAAAGGATCTGAGCATAAATCTGGGAGAACTGACACGTTTTTTATATTATTTAAGATATTTTTTGGAAGTGGAGTTGAGATTGTTGGCCATAATAAAAGTAGAGGGAGTTTTAATTTGTGTAAAATTGGAATTATTTAAGAAGTTAGTTATGTGTTTTTTCTTTTATGTATTCACGTTAAAAACCCCTATTATTATAGCAAATTTATACAGCGAAATTTTGTATCTTCAATTTCGGAATGAGGGTGTATACAGGGTGAGTCATTTAACTTGAAACTTTGAAATATCTTAGTTAGTATGCATTTGACGAAAAAATGTTTAAAATAAAAATTAAATGATTCGAGGGGGGAAATCAATCAGTACTAAAATTGGTCCTCATACTTTCCTCCTTATAGGGGAAACAGGGGGTAACTTTAAAATTTCCAATGGAACACCCTATTTTTTATTGCAGATTCGGATCATTCAACTAAAAATAGGTAGATTTTGTCTAAAATATTTTTTCATATTTGTAATAGATGGCGCTGTAATGAAAAAAAATCAATTTTGTTAGATTTTTCTTCTGTATACGATTCTCCAATAATTTTTGAATAAAATACTAAATACTAAAGTACTTGGTTTTATTTTTTAAATTTATTTATTTATTTCGTTTTAATATTCTGCTAACACTGTTCTGGGATATTCCCAAATCTCTAGATAATTCTCGTGTGCTTGCATGAGGATTAGCGGCCGTTGCTAATACATTAATTTCATTATTTCCACCTGTGACTATTGCTCGACGAACTCTTTTTTTCGGTTGAACACTCCCGTTTGTAGTAAACTGCTTGACTGTACGGTAAAATGTAGAGATGGGAAAATTCCCATTTGACGAAAATTCCCGGAAACTTTCCATCGAAAATTCCCGAAAGTTTAAAAAAAAAAATTTTAATGCGAAAATATTTTTTTTTATGCCAGGGATTTGCAAAAATATATAACACATTAACTTTTTGTCAAATTTTTGGTTGCATTAACGACATAGATTTTCTTTCAGAACTTGCTTTGAGCATGGTCTTTTTTGTTTTTTGCACTATTTTGTAATAATTCCAAACACTAGATTTTTCTCTTGGCATTGTGCTATGCCTATAAATAAACAACAAAAATGTAAGAATGATTTTAAATTTGTTTATTGTTTTTATTTTGTTTACCTTTTTTTAAAAAAGTTTTTTGTGTTGATGCTGAATAATACGGCTTCATTGAGGTTATGTAACATAACTTACATTATTTATACTTCTTCTTCTGCTTTAAATTAACACAAATTAAATTCTTATTCAAAGTTTCCTGGCCTTTTATCATGGCCTTAACGAAAATCAGCGGTTAAACAATTGACATTTAAATGAAAAAAACAAGGAAAGTTTCCAAGGAATGTTTCCAAGGAATGTTTCCGGTAGCTTAAAGGAAACTTTCAAAATGAAAATAAATTCTCAATTGGAAACTTTCCAAAACGGAAAGTTTCCTTAAAATGGAAACTTTCCGATTCCCATCTCTAGTAAAATGAAGTACCCCAGCTAGCATTTGGCCGAAAGGTAATGCCGGTCCTTTACCTTTATTTACTGGCAGAATAACGGCCGTAAAAATTCCGGCATTTGCCTTAAGTCTGCCTTTAGAGCAACTAGAGACATCTATGCGAGTCATTGAATCAAAGAGCAGATTTGTTCTGTGATTTAAAATTACTCTGGCGATCGATTATCTCATAGATTATAAAGATTGTCTGTTCTGTATTTTGAAACTGGTGGTTGTTTATAACAAAAAAAAATATGGAAGAAACAAAGTAAGTACTGAATCGAATTAAACATATGACTTGATTTGAAAAATAAATAGAAAGTATGGTTTAATTAACGCATTGAGGTTATGTTTAAAATTTACTTGTTTATTTCACTGTTTTATCAATGTTTCTTATTGTTTTTAAAAAATAATATTCGCTTTTTCAATAATGCCTTATATAAACCATATATTATATTATACTTTATTGAATTGGGGTTACTCTCATAACCATGGTTACACAGAAACATTTTTTAAAACTATGTTTGTTACAGTGTTAACAGCTTCAATTAGTTGGAGGAAAAGATTTAGGAATTTAATAAAAAACATTTAAAAAAGAATAATTTAAGTTTTCATCCTTAACCACTATTATCACTTTAATCATTGGTAAGATTTAATTAAGATTTGACTTTTTTCCACATAAATAATAATTAAATTATTGCTTGGTTCTATATTGATAATTTTGTTTTAAAAAGTGTGATATTTAAATACAAAAAAGTCACCGTCAATATTATAGAAAATGGCATCAAATCTTGGTTTAGATCCTTGAGGAGCTTCTGATAGGGTAGGAGGGAGAAATAAAAGAATGGTCTGATATAAAAGATATATTTTATTTTTTAAATTTTATATTTTCTGAATGTCTATTTATGTTATGTCTATTCACTTAAAAATTAATTTTCATAGACTAGAAAAAATGTTAATTTTTTAAAAATTTATAAATTATTAAATATTTATTTTAATGTTTTAATGTATATTAATGTTCAAATACATGTTATACTTAAATGTAATTCTATTATTTTATACCTTATAATAAACTGTGTTGCTGAAATTAACGTTGTAGGTATTCAAGGTATTTTTAATTTTCTAATGTTTTTTTTACTTGGTAATTTAAAATTTATATAAATTACTAAAAAAAATACCTTTTACTACTCTAAATTCGGCAACAAACCCATTTTAAGGGAATCCATCACTTCTGGAATACCCTGTACAGTGGCGGACACAGAATTTTGAACGTTATAATTTGGTTGTCCATGTATAAATTTGTAAATAGCAAAGAAAAAATATTGCCCATTTTTGCTTTCGCTGTCAAAACGACAAGACTAGTGATAACCAGAAGTAAGGTTAGTTGACAATAAAGGAAGTTAAGATTTTAATATTAACTGGACGAAAGCCGTTCAAAATTCCGTGTCGGCCACTGTATATTTGACCAGTAATATGCCAGCAATGGCCACTAAAGGCCCAGTACTAAAGGGCCGGTACCGGCCCGGGGTACCGTTTTTTTAAAGAATCGTTAAAGGCCCGATGACGTGGCCCGATAACGGGCCGACCGGTTATCTCATGGCCAACTTCAACGGGCCGTTAAGCGGCCTTTAACGGAATGTTT